GCCCCCACCCGATTGCTTTTATAATCCAGGGACGAATAAACAGACACATGAATAAATATTCTAAAACCATTAACCATTTCCATTTGAAACACAGGGGAAAGCCCACAGGGAGGCCTGGCTTGGTCCTGCCTCTTTGTTTTGACAAAGGAGTAAACTGAGGCACCAAAGCACACACCCCCACCCCGCCCTTCTGATCTGAAGAGAGGGATGGGGCCCCAGCAGGTCTCCCTGCCAGGGCCCGGGATGCTGGCTGTCTCCAGCCCCGTCTGGCCCCTCCCTCCCTTGCCTCTGCCATGGAGAGGACCCTTTTCCAAACCCTCTAACGAACACGAGCCTATCGCCGGTCCACAGTCATCCCTGAATCATTCATGAGGGAAGCAGCTGGCGGGCTGGGATGGGAGAGAGAGGAGGCCGGGCGGCTCCTACTGAAGTCAGGGGCGTCCATCTGATCCCCACACGCTGGGGTGTCTAGTCAGGAGGGTACGTCTGTGTCACAGGCCTCCAGCCTGCGGATCTCCTAACCGTGGAGATCAGTATGGATTCTCACCAGAGGCCCTGGCCCCTTCACCTTGGGGTCCAGCAACCAACAAGATTCGGGGGCAACCAGAGACACCGAGGACCTCATCTCAGCGCAGACCACTCCCAGTGTGGCCTCCTGGCCTCCCTGCCAGATTCTCTACCTAACCCTGGCCTGGATTTGAATGGGTGCTGAGCGCCAGTGCATTGTGGAAATGAGAGGTGACGGCCTTAGCCACCTCGGTGGGGCACTTCAGAGAAAGGCCGTGGGCAAGGGCCCGAAAGAGGACTATTTTAGGGAAGAGTCTCCCCAAAAGGGTCAGCCTCACACAGGAGGCCTGTGTAAATGAGGTCAGAACCAGACAGGCGGCCAGTGGTGTGGGGGTGTGGGCCTGCTGGCCGCCAGCGCTGCACCAGGACCCCTGGCCGGGCTATGATGGGAAGTGGGTTTCAACACCATTCTGACAGTCTACACTCTCCAGTGCCAGCTGCGCTCCCCCCCCTCCCACCCCGGGGCTGTGACACTGCCAAGTCCCCTCGCTCCCCGCTGCTGTCCAGTGCCCAGGGAAGGAAGACCAGCAAGCCGGCTCCTGGGGGCACCCACGGCGCGGCTCAAGAGGGAGACCTGGAGGGAGCAAATCCGCGGGAGTTCGTCAGAGACCCTCCTAAAGCCACGGAGAAAGTCCTGATTAGCGGTTTTGGGGCTGGATGGCCTGTCCAGGGGCCACAGTCCGGGAGGCCGCCATGCAGGTGTGTCGAGGCTCGGTGGCGCGGGGTCTGGTGCTCCAGCGAAGCCGGCCCGACGCAGGGCGCCCACCCAGGGCAGCAAAGGTCACTCCTCCCCGCTCTCCGGTCAGGCCCAGACTGGAAACCCTCTCCTCCGCACGGACGCACAGCGAAGGGCATCAGGGGCGGTGGCCTCCGCGCCCGGCGTCCACTCGGGGTGGTCTCCCGGGTCCGCGCGCAGCGCCCCGCGCGGACCGCCCTAGGGCCCTGCACGACCCTCCCTGCCGTCAGCGCTCTCAGGAACACGTTCAGGACGCTCCCTGGCCGCCGAGGTGGAGACGCAGCCCGTCCTGCAGAGCCCAGGACGGCGGGACGCTGCTCTGTGCGTCCGGGGCGCAGACCCCCAACGTGGGCAGGGCGGGAGGACCGTCGGGGGCCATCCCGCACCACATCACGATCTCGATATCGGAGACCAGCCGCGCAGACTGAACCCTGGCTAGTCTGAGACGGGCTAAGCGGCCTCCGCTTCCCCGCGTGCCAACCTAGGAGGAAGGGCTCGGTGCGAACCAGCCTTTTCAGCCACGTGCCCTAAAGCAAGATGGAACCTCACAAGTTCCCTGCCCGACTCCAAGATGGCGACCACCCACTCTCATGCCCGTGGACGGCCCCTGCCCATTTGCAAGATGGCGGCAGCCTGGTGGAAAGCGCGCTTCCCGCCGCCTGACTCGCCACGTACCCACTCTCAAGATGGCTTCTCTTGCAAAGCCCCACGCAGGAGAGCAGCTCGCTCACTGGCTCAGCCTCCGTGATATGATCCCGCCTTCTCTCCCCTCCCCCGTCTCCACGGGTCGTTTCCGCTTCGAGCCCTGACGGACCGCCGCCTTCCCCAATGGCCGCCTGACATTCCTCTTGGCTCCATCACCCCCCGCCCCGGCAGCCTCCGAGCCATTGGGAGGCGCTGGCAGGGACCCGCGGCGCCCGCCCCGCCCCCTCCCCGTGGCGGGAGCCAATGGGCAGAGCGCGCGGGGGACGTGTTCGGGCGTCTCCGCCATTTTGTGAGTCTATAACTCGGAGCCGTTGGGTCGGTTCCTGCTATTCCGGCGCCTCCACTCCGTCCCCTGCGGGTCTCCTCCGTGTGCAATGGACGGGTAAGTATTGTCTCTCCGCGCTCCCCGACGGCCGCCTCGTGCTCCATCCCTCCCCTCGCCGCCGCCTGGGCATCTTCGGGGCCGCGGGCCGCGCGTCGCTCCGCCTCCGCCCGGGTTCGCGGGCGCCCCCGGAGTTCCTCCTCTCCCTGGGCCTGGGGCGCGGCCGCAGGGGAGGTTGCCGGCGGCCGCCAGGCGTGTAGCGTCCCCTGGGCTGGGAGGGGGTGGGCCGGGCCCGAGTCCTGCCCGTTTCCGGCCCCCGCGCACCTCGGCCCGAACGCACGCGGCGGCCCTTCTCGCTTCCCGTCCGTGCCCCGCGCGCACGCGCCAGTTTCTCGCGCCCCGTGTGGGCCTTCCCGCTCCCCGTACCCCCTTCGCGCGGTCGGTGTGGCCCTTCCCGCTCCCCGTCGAGCCTCCGCGCTTGCGTGCTCAGCCCTCCGCGTCCCCACCTCCCCCCTCCGCCGTTGGGCTTTGCGCGTGCGCGGTCTTTCCCGCCGCGCGGACTCTGTCCTGGGCCTCCCCCGCCCGCCGGGGGCCCGGGCGCGGTCGGGAGACGCCGCCCTCCTGCCCAGAAGGGCGCGGGCCCGCCTCCGCCGGCCGCCGGGCCCCTCCCAGTCTACCCACAAAGGATGGCCGCGCGCCCGGCCCCCCCGCCCCCCCTTTGTTCCCGCCCGTGGGGGGCGCTCCGGGCCGGCCGTTCCCCGCGGGCGGAGCCCCCGGCGGCGGGGAAGCCGCTGGGGCCGTGGCCGTGGTGGCGCTGGCTCGTCGCAGGTCCTGGGACGCGGGGCCGACGTGCCTGTGTTGGAGGGCACTTCGTGTTGGAGCTCTGGGCTGCTGGTCCGGGGGGAAGGGGTGGACGCTCGCGTGGAGGGCGCCTCGTCGTTTCCCCGTGGGGCGGGGCGGGGGCCACGGCTTCCGGAGCCGGAGGGTCCCGCGGGCGGCGCGGCCTCCTTCCGCCCCTGGGCTGACCCCCGGGCGGGGCGCTCGACGCCTGCAGAGTCACGAGTGCCGAGGCCTGGGGTTTGAAATGATCGGTTTCGGGCTGACTCTCATCCGGGCCTCGAGCGGGAGGAGCGCGGTCTGCTCGCGGGCTGCGGGCCGCAGGGTCTCGGCCGTGCCGCGGCCTTGCCCAGGGAGGGCTCCCCGATCCCCGCAGAGAGGCCGTCTCTTGGGAGACCTGCGCGCGAGGCCCTGCCAGGGAGTGGGAAGCCGGAGCCGCTCCGGATCAGCGCGCGAAGCTGCGTGCTTTTCATTCTTTGGGGTTTTCTGGGAAGCTTTTTTCTGGCTCAGGAAGCCTTTTTAAAAGTCAGTTGATAATCAGTGCGTGGGTGGTTTCTTGTGCTGTGTTTTGATAGCGGGAGGTCCTGCTGTGAAGGACCCCGAGCAGGTGAGAAAGGGCAGGTGAGGGGTGTGGAATCCGTGACCGCAGCAGTGTTTTGAGTCCTGCAAGCTTGGTTCCTCGAGGGTAGGAGGAAAGGAACCAGGGTGTTCGAACCAAAGAGGGGAATAGTGCAGGAAGCTGGTTTTTGTCCAGGCCAGGGGGCGCAGGTGGCTACCCCAGGGCCCCTGCCGGGTCTGAGTCTGCGACAGCCTTTCCCTGGCCGCGCTGGGGGCCGGTTGTGATGACACAGGTGGGTTTGTCCGGGGGCCTCCAGGCCTTGGCGCACGGTTGGGTAAACCCCTTCCTGGAATGATGTCCGTGAGTTGGCGAGGACCTGGTCCATTTGTAGGTGTTACAGCAGTGCCCTTGGATGGTGCTGAGAGCGGAGGCGGGCAGGGCTGTAGGAACCCTCCCTCCGGGTAGCCATGTTTTCTTCCCGCCTTCCGTGCAGCCCGCCCGAGGGAGTAGAAAGTCCAGGCACGCGGGACCGGGTTGATGAGTAACCGGTGTTAATTGTATGTGACCGCTTCTGCGGAGCTACCCCCCAGCCTTCCACCCTTTTAGTGTTGAGTCCCTGCCCCCCAGATCCCGAGGTCTGACCCCAGGGCCTGTGAGCCCTCTTTCAGCTGGTCTCCTTGCCCGTTTGAAAACGTTCCTGAAGTGCTTCCGTGTTCCGTGGAACAGACCACAGTGCTTGAACCTCCGCGTCAAGGGTCCCTCCTGGGGTTTTTGCTGGGGGTGTCTTTGTTTGGGGCCGGTCTAGAGGCGGGGCCTGGGGTCCTGCTGGGAGGGAGGGGAGCTGGAAGACAATGGTGGTTCCTTTTCAAGTGGAGGTTACACAGAACGACGCTCACTTTCCTGCCTTCCACAGTCTCCTTAGCAGAGGGCCTTGGAGGGCGATGTTGTGCAGCCACAGGCCACGCTGGTGGCCATGGGGGGGGGCTCCCAACATCCCAGTGGCAGCCGCTGGGACAGGGACGGCCTCCCCCACCTGCTGAGATGGCGGCACACCTGGCTAACTGTTGTCCTTTCTTTCTCTCTGCAGCATTGTCCCAGATATAGCAGTTGGTACAAAGGTAGGCGCTTCTGGCTCCGGTTCCTCCTCACGCTCGCTCACCCTCAGTTTGCGCTGACCCGCGTGGGCCCGTCTGCTCACCTCCAGTGCCCCCGTCCCGGGCTGGGCCTTCCGGGCCTTGTGGGCTCGAGGGCCTCTCCGCCGGCAAGAGGCCTGCTTGTACCCACTCAGGCTGAAGCGGCTGCACACTGGGGCCGAGGGGACACCTGCCCACGGAGGCTTTGCGTGCCCCTGGTTTGGCGTGGGCCGCGTTAACGTCTGGTTATGCCCCGGGCAGTTTGTGGGGTGGGTGGTGGGGCTGGAGGACAGTGGGGGCTGCTGTTGGTGGTGGTACGGATCGCATAGCTTTTGCTGTGAAGGATTCCGTATCCTTTCTGAAGGGAGGGGAGAGGAGAGCCCTGCGGTCTCTGCGCAGGAGTTGTGTTACTTCCAAGTGGGAAGAGTGAGAACGGCAAACTCGGCGGGCGCGCGCTCCGCACAGGAAGTGGGGCCGCGGTGATCCTGCCCCCAGTGGGGGACCCGGCCTACGTGCACCCACGTGTGTGACCTCCGGGAATCCTGGGGCTGATGGCGAGCCCTGCTGGTTCACCGGTTCCCAGCTCGGTCCTGGCGGTGGCTGGGAGCCGGGGGAGTCCCCCCTCCGCGGTCGAGGTTCCTGAGCTTCCTGCTGGGGGCTCAGGTGACCTGAGCCGGCAGCCAGATGGTTTCTGGTCAGTGGGCCATGATGCCTGGGCTGGGTTTCACTTTCCCAAGTGGGTTTTTGTCTTCACACGCTGCCTGTCCTGATGTTCCTGCAGATAAAACCTGTTTGTTTGGCGGCAGGAGGGGGGAGGGGGACTTCCATCTGCAGCATTTGTCACAACTGCAGAAAACGTCTGGGTTGCGAGTCATCCTCCCCCTTTCCGTGGGAGCCGCCCTCCAGCTGGGGCAGCTCTTCAGTGGCTGTCCTTGGAGTGGCCCCCTTTGGCCATCCTGTGCCCAGGGGACCATTGCTTCCAGAATCAGAGCTGAACGGACAGAAACCCTGGAGGTGTTCTGCTTGGGGCGGAGGCTGAGGCGCACTGCCCGGGCACTATCCATCAAACCTGTGCCCAGCCTGCAGGGGAGGATGTGGCCAGCTGTGCGGGAAGGGGGTGCTGTCGAGGTTTTTAGCTCTCTGTGGGAGAGGTGGTTACCCGCTGCTGTCCCGGCAGAGCGGCCCTGAATCAGGAGCGAGTACACGCTTGAGGGTCGCATCCTTTTGATCCTAGATGGGCTCCAGGGTCCATGCCCGTGGGGCCTCCCCCATGCTGGCTAGGAAGAGGGCCTGGCCTAGCCCAGCTGCGCATGGGGTCTGTCCCTGGAGGCAGTTGCCCCTTGAGCCCCGTGTTGTCGCAGTGCCTTAACGTGCTGCTGAGCACCCTGGCCCTGTGTCCTGGGGGTGGGGGATGGGAGCAGGAGCAGACAAGTGGGCACTTGGTCCTCAGGACATGGTTGCAGGGGGACAGGGTGGCCAGGAATGCTGCTGGTCCTGGAAGTCACAGCCTCGCCCACTCCTGGCCAGAGGCAGGCGCCCAGAAGCCCTTTCTAAGGCTGCATGGCTAGCAGATGGGGGCTCCTTTGTGAACCTGTGGGGGGAGTCAGGGTCTCAGACCAGAGACAGAAGGGGCTTTGCTATGGCTCAGGGTAGTGGGATCTGGATGTGCCTCCCCTTGGTGAGTGTCCTAAATGCTCTGGGTCCTGGGCATGGGCGTCGCAGGCCGCAGCAGCTGGGGCGTGGTTTGTAACGTGCTCTGTTGTGTAGACTTCCGCGCCTGTGCGGGACCGGGTCTTAACGGTTCATTCCTCTTTCTGAGCTGTGATGCCGATCTGGGGGCTGTTGGTCTCTGAGGGGCAGCCCAGGGCCTGTGGCCTCCAGAGTTGTGGGCTGGGAGGCCCTCCACAGGTGCCGGCCTATCCTGGGGCCTGGGTCTGGGGACAAGCCTGCTGGAGCTCTCTGAGCCACGTGGGTCAGTGGTTCCTGGCCCTTATCCCCGAGGGCAGTCTGAGCGTCTGGGCATTCCTTGTGCTGCTCTCGCGGGCTGCTGGGCATGGAGGTCCTGAGGGGTTGTTGGGTGCCAGCACCAGCAGCGGGGAAGCCCCTGAGCATCCCTAGACGGCTGTGCGAGGGTAAGCAGGCAGTTTGGAAGAGGGGTGGGGATGCGGTATCCTTGAGACATAAGTAGGTGGAAAAGGCGGTTTGGGGGAGAAGGGGTGAGGCTGCTGGCGGCGCGGCTGGGCTGCTCTTCCCCGTCCCTGCCACGGCGCTGGGCCTCGAGACTCTCTCTGGCCCCCGGTTTTGCATCCAGACGTTCCTTGAGGAGTTACTCCTGGTTCCTGGTCATGGAGCCCAGGACACAGCTCTCGATCCTGGGGTCCGGTCTGCAGAGGGCAGAAGTGTTAGGTGGGAGCCAAGTCCACGTCCCGTGTGGTTCTTGTTGAGAGTGGCTCTGTCCTCGGGCCTCCGTGGAGGGACGGCTGCCTGCTTGCTAGGCCCTGGGCGCGTCTGCCGTGCGCCACACTGAGACCGGCAGGTGCACGTGTTTGTGGAACACAGCGGCAGGCCACCCATCCCCAGTGTCGTACACAAATGGGTCTTTGGGGTTTCTAGGCCCTCTTGGGCTCCCCCGGGTGCCCCCACCCCTCACTGGACGGCACCGCCCGCTGCATCGAGGAGTAGTATTTCTGTCCAAAGCCGTGAGGGCAAGGCTCAGGTTCCCTCAGATGCCTGGAAAATAGGGCAGGCTCCTGGGGCTAAGCTGCGTGGCTGCCACGGGACAAGGGGGCTTTGTTCCCTGGGCCTGCCAGCGGCCCTGTGGTTGTCGAAGATGGTCCCCCAGTCTTGATACCGGTAGGGCTACAGTTGAGCTCTCTGGGTCAGTGGGTTTGGGCTCGTCCCCATGCAGCCCTGTCTGCACACATGGAGGGTCTGCAGAATGTGGGATGGCAGTGACGTACGGGCAAAGCCTCTGTAGGTGGTGGTCCCCCACCCTGCCCTTGGAAGAGGAGCAGTGTCTTGGGGTTAGGACCATGTGGCCGTGGCGAGGGGAGGAATGGTCACAGCTTTGGGTATCGTCTTAAAGCCAGGTTGGAGCAGAGAGGTGGGCACAGGGGGTCTTGGGGAGATGCTCTGGTATTTTGCTCCGCTCCACACACCCTCTCTCTCTTTCCAGCGGGGATCCGACGAGCTTTTCTCTGCCTGCGTCACTAACGGACCCTTTATCATGAGCAGTAACTCGGCTTCTGCAGGTAACCCCAAGCACAGTCCCCGGTTCCTGGCTTAGGGGGGGTTCTCTCCCGTCCATCCGTGCATGCTCTGCTGCTTTGGAGGACACTTGGGTGAATTGGTTCTGGCTGTTATGCCCTGGAGCCTGGTTCATTCTCACCTGACTTCCCTGTGGACGGTCAGACAGGCGGGGTGGATACCAGGCGTGGGGGCTGCCCTGTCCTTGCTGTGGCTTGGCAGTCGGGGAGGAAGCTGGCTTCATTGGACCCGCATGGCGCTCTGTGCCCTACAAACTGCTCCTCGTCTTTGCAGCAAATGGGAACGATAGCAAGAAGTTTAAGGGGGACAACAGAAGTGCGGGCGTGCCCTCCAGAGTTATCCACATCCGGAAGCTCCCAGGCGACGTGACGGAGGGCGAGGTCATCTCCCTGGGGCTCCCCTTTGGGAAGGTCACCAATCTCCTGATGCTGAAAGGGAAAAATCAGGTACCTGCCTCAGCCATGTAAGCCCCCATTCCCAGGAGGGCCCCAGGGGTCTGGGCCCGGCTCATGCCCTTGCCCTGCCAGGCCTTCATCGAGATGAACACAGAGGAGGCTGCCAACACGATGGTGAACTACTACACGTCCGTGACGCCTGTGCTGCGCGGCCAGCCCATCTACATCCAGTTCTCCAACCACAAGGAGCTCAAGACAGACAGCTCGCCCAATCAGGCAGTGCGTCCCCGGGCAGGGGACTGGGACGGGGCGGGTAAGCACGGGAGCTGGGGGTGTGGGACTCAGGGCTGGAACTGCCCCTCTGCCCCCACAGCGGGCCCAGGCCGCACTGCAGGCAGTGAACTCCGTGCAGTCCGGAAACCTGGCCCTGGCCGCCTCGGCTGCCGCGGTGGATGCTGGGATGGCCATGGCTGGCCAGAGCCCGGTGCTGCGGATCATCGTGGAGAATCTTTTCTACCCGGTGACTCTAGACGTGCTCCACCAGGTGAGATGGCCGGGGGCTTACGGCTGCTCGGGTCCTGGTCCAGACCGCAGGGGTCCCTGGGCAGAGGCTGACCGCGCTTCTCTCGCAGATCTTTTCCAAGTTTGGTACGGTTCTGAAGATCATCACTTTCACCAAGAATAACCAGTTCCAGGCACTGCTGCAGTACGCCGACCCTGTGAGCGCCCAACACGCCAAGCTGGTGAGTGGGGCCCTGGGACCCCCGCCCGGCCGGCCAGCATGCAGCCAGGGCCGCTCACAGGCCTCTCCCCGCAGTCACTGGACGGACAGAACATCTACAACGCCTGCTGCACGCTCCGAATCGACTTCTCCAAGCTCACCAGCCTCAATGTCAAGTACAACAACGACAAGAGCAGGGACTACACACGCCCTGACCTGCCTTCTGGGGACAGCCAGCCCTCGCTGGACCAGACCATGGCTGCCGCCTTTGGTAAGATGCCCGGCTGGGTGCCCAGGACCACCGTGTGCCGTGGGAGGCGAGGACGCATAGCTCAGTCTCTGCCCCAGGCGCCCCGTGGCGCCGGCTCTGCCCAGGGAGGTTGGTGCGTGTGCTCCTTGCAGGGTCGCACGGCCCCCAGCCCAGGCCGCCTGCTGGGTGTGGGTCACGGACACACGCAGCCCTCGCTTGTGGCCGAGGTGGTGGGTGCGATGATTAGTGTCTCATTTGTTCCTAGGTGCGCCTGGTATAATGTCAGCCTCTCCGTATGCAGGAGCTGGTTTCCCTCCCACCTTTGCAATTCCTCAAGCCGCAGGTACTCAAACACTTGACCTTGGTCCCCACCGTCGCTTGTGCATGCCCACACACCTTTCAGTAGCTCTGCTTCCACGGGCAGCGGACGTGGGCGCAGTCTCGGGGGGAGCCCGCCTTCCTGGGTGCGGGCCTCTGGGTTCCCCGAGGAGCCTGGACAGGGCAGACATAGGGCAGGGCCATGCAGAGAACCTGCTAACCCCACAGTGTCTGGTCTGGTTCCCTTAAAGCACCTCTGGGCGAGGACGAGCACGCACGGTGGTTGGAGGGCTGTGTCCCTCGTAGATGCGTTTAAGTGGTCCGGTAAGCAGAGCCGCATGGACGCACGTGAGCGTCCCCCCGGGGGGCCGGCCTGTGTTCACGACAGGCTCGCGCCTGCGGGGCCCGCCCGCTCGTCGTCTGCATGGGGACGGGCGCCTGCATGCTCAGCTGCGGCCCGCCCGGGGCTCAGTTATGCGTCCGCGGAGCGGAGCTGGTGCACTACTGGGCGCATGTAGACGGGTCCAGACCCGGTGCAACCTGTGCCATGAAGAGAGGAAGGAGAAGCTGGCAAGGCTGCCCAGTGGGCACTGGGCCGAGTGACTCCTTTGCATGAAGACAGGCAGGACCCGTGCTCGCCTCTTGGCAGTGAACCCCGGGCGCTGTTGCTCACCTCCCGACCGCGCTTCCCTCTCCAGGCCTCTCTGTCCCTAACGTGCATGGGGCGCTGGCCCCCCTGGCCATCCCATCGGCGGCGGCGGCAGCGGCGGCGGCGGGCCGGATTGCCATCCCAGGCCTGGCCGGGGCAGGGAATTCTGTCCTGCTGGTCAGCAACCTCAACCCCGAGGTACGTGCCTCTTCCTTCTGGGCTGTTGGTCCCGGAAGCCCGCGCGGGGGAGTCACACTCAGGGTCTTAGTGCGAACGGCAACAGGCTGGGCTCCTGTCTGCCCCAGGAGCCAGGGTCCCTCAGGGTGCTCCCTGCGGGGTGCGGTGCAGCCCCTCTGCGCTGGCCCGCTCGCTGCCTCCTTCCTCTGTGCTCAGAGTTCTCTCGTTCTTTACGCCTTGTTGACGTTTCTAATTCCGTAATACACAGAGTCGAAATGGTTTTTGATACGTGAAAGTGGTCCTTAGAATTTCTAGCCAAACTGGGCGGGTCTGAAGCGGCCCGTGGGAGCAGGAGCGCCCGCAGCCACGGGCCGGGGGATGGCCATGCCGTGCCCGTCCCCATGGCTGTGTCCAGCTCAGAGAGAGCTTGGGTGAGCCGATGGGGCTCGCGGTCTTTAATTCTGGGAAGTCGGGACCGGCCTTAATGAGCGTTTCAGACTGTTCTGTCATCTCTCTGCCCCTCCTGTGACTTCCTGGCCTGGGGTGGCCGGCCCGCGGCTCGTCCGGGCCCGACACCAGTGAAGCCCTCCACTAACAGACTCGCTCCGCCTTGTGCTTGTGTGAGCCTGGCGCAGGGGCCCGTCCAGCGGGCGCGCAGGAGGCAGCGGCCCCACGGTCTCCTGCCCGCCTCGGGGAAGGGCCCCTCCTGCTGTGTTGCGAGGTGAACCTGTGACTTGTAATGTGTGTAGATCTTGACTGATGGAGCGCTCGTGTTTCTTATGTATTTACTGACCTGTGTTTTTTTGCTACTTTTTTTCTTTTCTCCCCTTCCCCTTTCCCAATTTGTTTTCTTGCCCTGATCCGGAATTTCTTTGCCAACTGACTGCACGGTTCTTCTGCTTCCTGTTGTTGCTTGAAACAAAACAAAACCATAAATAAATAAAAAAAACAAAATTCCCCCTCAAACCCTGCTCTCCGGAAACCAACCTGCCCTTGAATATTAACATCCTGACAACTTCATCATCCATCAACCTGCACGCCTGCGGGGCTGCCTCCTCGTGGTGGACGATTGGCATCTCGCCCCCTGACCTCTCCCTTTCCCTGTCCCTCGCTGCCTTGCTCTGCTGTCCTCTAAAGAGAGTCACACCCCAAAGCCTCTTTATTCTTTTCGGTATGTTATCATTCACACTTTTATTACCTTGTTTTCATTTAATGGAGGTTATTTTTGACGCCCTAAGATGTACTATGAGTTTGCAGTTGGGCCCTGGGCCTCGTTACGTGGCTTGCCTTCGGTTTGCGTATTTACCCGACTCCGTAGACGCATGGTTTATTGCCCTGCATGCTTTTCGAAGAGTTAAAACGTGTTGGTAGCATGCTAAAGTGATGGTTCTTGGCCATTGACCTTTCCTGGATTTTAGGACTTCTCTGCTGAAGGTAGTCCTCCTGGTAACACTCCCTGTGGTAGACGCTGGGCCCAAAGGCAGAATAAGCAACCTTCGGGAAGAGCCGGCCCTCTGCGGGGTGCGCGGGAGGGGGGGGTGGCTGGCGGGGGAGGCGCCTCCGGGCCGCAGGCAAGCTCAGTGCCTGTCCCTGTGCTCTTGAAGGCGTGTACGGCGACGTGCAGCGGGTGAAGATCTTGTTCAATAAGAAGGAGAACGCGCTGGTGCAGATGGCCGACGGTAGCCAGGCGCAGCTGGGTGAGGCGGCGAGGCCGCGGTGGGGCGGGGCATCCCCCGGCCGGTGCCCATGGCACCTACAGTCACACGTGTCCCGCCCCTGCCCCCCCCCCCAGCCATGAGCCACCTCAACGGGCACAAGCTGCACGGAAAGCCGGTGCGCATCACACTGTCCAAGCACCAGAATGTGCAGCTGCCCCGCGAGGGCCAGGAGGACCAGGGCCTCACCAAGGACTATGGCAACTCCCCACTGCACCGCTTCAAGAAGCCTGGCTCCAAGAACTTCCAGAACATCTTCCCGCCTTCAGCCACCCTGCACCTCTCCAACATCCCGTAGGTGCCCGGCGCGATTTGGGGGGGGCCTCCCGGTTGTATTCGGAACTTCCCGGCTGCTGGGGTAAGAGCCGGCGCAGGAGGGGCTGGGGCACGCCTGTTAGACGTCCTTCCTGGGTCCCTCTCAGGCTCTCCGCACCCCTCCCGGCCCTCCCCGGGAAGCAGCCGTGTTCAGACCCTTCTCCCCACAGGCCCTCGGTGTCTGAGGATGACCTGAAGATCCTCTTCTCCAGCAACGGCGGGATCGTCAAGGGGTTCAAGTTCTTCCAGTGAGTGTCCCCTGCCCCCCCCCCAGCCCTGTTCCACCCTGGGGCCCGCCCCCCAGGCCCACCCTCACTGCCCTCGCTCCCCGGCTCCCAGGAAGGACCGCAAAATGGCGCTGATCCAGATGGGCTCCGTGGAGGAGGCCATCCAGGCGCTCATCGACCTGCATAACCACGACCTGGGCGAGAACCACCACCTGAGGGTCTCCTTCTCCAAGTCCACCATCTAGGGCTGCTGTGGACCAGCCTGCCGGTGCCCGGCCACAACTTCCATCATTCCAGAGAAAAGCCACTTTAAAAAGCAGCTGAAGTGACCTTAAAAGACCAGAGATTTTATTTTTTTAAAAGAGAAATCAGTTTACCTGTTTTTAAAAAAATTAAATCCAATTCACCTTACCCTGGGGAGATGGGGTGCCGGCCTCAGGCTCTCGGTGACTAGTGGACAGTGCGCCCTGCTCCCTCCCCAGCCCCCCCCAGCCCGTGCCTTCTGCAGCCTCTGCGGGGTGGGCATTCCCAGACCTCGACTCGGCTTTCCTGTGCCTTACAACCCACTGCTCTGGTGGAGCCCCTCCATGGGGGTGGGGGGGCCTCCCGCGTGGGATCGTGTGCCTGGTGCAGCGGGGGCTGTGAGCTGCAGGGTCCAGCCAGCACCCCAACCCGTTCAATCAAGTGTGTGATTCGCCCCAGCCCCAGGGACCCCGACCCGGGGCAAGGCCCCAAGGGCACCGGCCGCCTCCAGCTCTGAGCTCTGCCCCTGGAACCTCTGTATTAGGCTTCGATGCAGCTGCAGAGTCTGTGCCCAGCAATATTTCGACTTGACCAAATACTCTAATCTCATTTATATGCAAAAGAGATAGTTTTAAGTAACTTTTTATATAGCAAGATAAAAGTGGTATGAGTGTACTCTCCGTTTCCTCGTGCTATCACCTTGCATACTGTACTTTCGACCTTACTCCTTGTGCTGAAGTCGCGGGGCAGGATCCAGTTTCCAGGGCAGGCTGGCTGGGGGCCGGTGCAGGGGAGCCCCGGTCTTTGCCGAGGACACCCCCAGATGCCTTACATCTAATGGTCCCCCCACCCCCACCCCAGGGGGGACAAGCGCTCTTAAAATTTTCAGGGTTTCCGCTCTCCTGCAGATTTTGGACCAAAGTTTTGTTTGTTTTTTTGTCTGCCTCTAACGCTGGGGCCCCAGGAAGAGGGACAGCGGTCCCCGAGTCTTAACTGTCTCCTGCCCGTCGTCCTGCACTCACGGGTCCAAGGGGCACCCCTGTGAGCAGACCCCCATGCTGGCCAGCCCCTCCCTCGGGCCTGGACCCTCGAGTTTCCGTGTTGGGGTGGAACAAGGGTGTAAATATTTATAATTTTTTTATACCTGTTGTAAAACGAGGGGCAGCAAACATGGTTTTTTATAAAGGTGACACAGATGTATATTTTGGTAACCCACAGTTACAGGCTCAGTATTGTGACGGGGAGCGCGGCGCATCCCACGGCCCCCCCCCCAGCGGCTTGTAATGCAGAGAGAACCGAATTAAAGCAATTTTACAACTCCTACCTTTTCTGTAGGCTCTTCTGTTCATATCGTAGAGGGCAGCTGGCCAGTCTGCTGGGCTTTGGAATAAATGTCTCTGCACCCTGTACTTGATCTCTGTTCTGCCTGTCTTCGCTGCTGTTCCTCTTCCGTGTGAACTCAACTGCTTCCCGCGTCGCTGAGGCCGGTCGGGCTCAGGGGAGCCAGAAGTGTGGGTGCCCAGGGTCTGGCCGACTGTGTCCGCCACCCCCACCCCAGCTGCAGGTCAGGACCTGGCTCCCTGCAGCCCCTCCCTCGTGCACGGGGGTTCCTCACACCAGTGACTCAGCCAGGACTCTGGTTGCTTTCGACCTTTTATTGTCTGATGGTGAAGTCGTCCGTCCCCCCCCCCCCCGCCCGCCCGCCCTGTGGCCACCTACACCCCGTGCTCCATCCCAGCCCCCATCAGTCCTTGAACCTCCGGGCCACGTGCATCTTGCGGTAGTAGCTCTCGGCCTCCGCCTCGCCCGCGGTCTCGCGCTCGCCCAGCACCAGGCCGCCGGCCTTGCGCCTCAGCGTGGACTCGCGGCTGGCGGGGCCCAGCGCGCCGTCAGCCGTGCCCAGCGGGGGCAGCCCCTCGCCAGTGGCCAGGTTCACCGTGGCCACTGCCCCGAACCGCGGCTCCTCTTGGTCCACGTCACTGACGGACGAGCCGGGGGACACCCCTGGCGGCTTGGGCCCCATGCGGAAGCTGCGAGCCAGGTCCCCCAGCTCGTAGCCGCCCTCGCCCTCCACGCCCTTGGCTGTGCTGCCCGCCGTCTTCCATTCCCAGGGCCCGTTCCCCGCGGACAGATGGACCACAGGGTGGTGGGGCGCATGCGCGTCGATGGTGACAGTGCTGGCCGAGTCGCGGTCCGATGGCGAGCGGTACTGCGAGGAGTCGGAGCTGGCGCTGGAGGACGAGGCGGTCTCCGCCACCTTGGGGCCGGGCCCGCCCGGCGCCTTGGACATGGCGATCACCTGCAGCAGCCGCGGTGGGTTGGCCACGCGGGGCTGTGCGGAGGCTGCGGCCGCCGCCCCACTCTTCTCTGCCATCATGAGCCACTTGGCCCGCACGGTCGCGCTGCTCTTGGGAGACAGGCCCGTGGCCGCCTGCGCCCCCTCCTCAGGGATGTGCACCAGCGGCTGCGGCCCGGAGCGTGGGGGTAGAATGACCCGGGGCCCGAGCCCTGGCCGGGCCTGGACGGTGGGGTAGAGTGAGGGTGGGGCCCGACCCCCTTCCTCGCCCTCCTCCTCTTCCTCCTCCTCCTCTTCCTCTTCTTCCTCCTCCTCCTCCTCTTCCTCCTCCTCCGCCATGGGCTCTGTCGGTGCCCGTAGGTGGCCAGGGCTGGCCTCGTCCGGCAGCCCCAGGCCTCGGCCCTCCAGCGACTTCTGCTTCCACTCGCTGATGAGCTGCTTGGAGCGGGAGGCGTCGAGGGGCACGTGGATGGTCATGTGGCGGCGAGCAGGGTCATCCAGCGAGGGTGTGCTGACACGGGGCAGCGTGTGGCTGAAAGTGACCATGTTCTCCTTGCCCATGGGGCTGCGTGGGGCCAGCAAGTCCACGTCCACACTGGCCCGCTTCAGGCTGCCCAGGGAGGTCTTCTCTCTGGCTACCGGCCGGGGCCCGCCTTCCAGCCGCCCCGGTGGGCCCAGCTCGTCCGTGCTCACGGACTTGTTCTGCTGGTACACGGAGTCATGGCCCCGCTGGGTCAGTGCCCGCAGCGCGTCCTTGGCCGGGGCCAGCGCCGTCGGCTTCTCTGTAGTTGGGGCCTGAAAGTTGCCCACAGCGTGGCAGGCCTGGGGGTGAGGCGGGGGCTGAAGACCAGACTTCTCACCGGGCAACAAACCTGCCAAGGCGGTCTGAGGGGAGAAGGCTGGCCCTCGGTGCAGATTCAGAGGGCGGAGTCCCACCCCTTCCCCAGGGCGACAAATTCTGGTCAGGCCACTCACACTCTAAACACTCAGCAAGTCTGGCCCCTGAGACTCTGACTCCCACATTCCAAGGGAGGAGACCCACCAGAGTCCGCCCAGGGCAAGGCCAGTCCTACCCCCTCCCACCTCCTCGCTGGGGGTCCGCCTCACCCGGCTCACAGACCTCCCCAATCCCACCATCCCTTGGGGACCGCCCCCCACCTCGGACCTCCCTCTGGGGGCCGGCCTCCACCCTAGGACCGCCCCACCAGCTCGGCGCTCCCTAGATGGGGCCGGCCTCCCCCGCCCCCTCACCAGGTAGGCGGCGATGCCAGCCCCGATGAGGAAGCCCGCGTAGACGTCCACCGGGTGGCTGCGGTACTGCGTAATCTGGGTGAGGCCGCAGACGCCCGCTGCGATGGCGAAGGCGAACACCAGGATGGGCTTGAGCAGCTTCGTGGTGTCGGAGATGACCGAGTTGAAGTACATCTGGGGGCGGGGCGGGGCGGGGCGGGTTAGAGCTCGCCCCCCCCCCGGGGGGGCGGGGCAGAGCGCGGGCCGGGGGCGGGCCGGGGGCGGGCCGGGACTCACCGACACGTAGACGGCAGCGAAGGCGGACAGCGTGGCGTGCTGCGACGGGAAGGTCTTCCTGGAAAAGGCGGCGGGTGAGCGCGCGGCGGGGCGCTCTGACCCCCCTCCGCTCCCCCCGCACAGCCGGGCGCGGGCGGCTCACCGCGCGGACAGGATGGCGTGGGTGTCGTGGCCAGCGCAGATGTCCTGCGTGATGTAGGGGTTGGCCTCGCACGACGTGCCCAGCAGCGTGTAGTTAGGCTTGCAGACGGTCAGGAAGAAGGGCGCGTGGTAGCCCGTGGCCAGCTGGATGACGTCGGTCACCAGGGCGGTGGCGCACAGGCCGAACACGTGGACACCTGCGGGGCAGCGCGGTCAGGGCCAGGCCTGGAGGTGGGCCCGGAGCCGGGTGCGCGCCGGGGCTGGGGACGGGGGGGGGGGGGGGGGGGCGCGACTCACCCACGAAGCGCACGGTGCGCCGCAGGAAGGAGTTGAAGCTGCAGCCCCCCGCGCTGATGCTGCCCTCGGCCTCGCCCGGGCCCCCGCCGCGGCCCCACAGCCGGGACTGCGCACAGTAGAGCAGGCCCTCGCCGACCATGATCTGCCCGACAGCGAGGCGTTCAGCCGGGCCGACCCCCGGGGCACCCACAGGCCAGCCCTACCACCACCACCCCCCACCCCCGCGCCAGGCACTCACCGAGGCCGCAGGGGCAGCGAAGGCCAAGCTGAGGAGCATGAGCAGAGGGATGAGCTCCTCGTTGGTCCCCACGTAGGGCATGGAGAGCGCGCGATCATAGCACTGGAAACCCACCTTGGCCGGCTTGAAGAGGTCTGTCAGCTCCAGGAAGTAGAGGGACACGATGGACGATGCCACTATGGGGAGCTGGGGGGGCATAGCTAGGGTCACCCCACCCTTGCTCACCAAGCCGCCCATCCCTCCCCATGCAACCATCTGTCCCTGTGGTCCATCCATCCGGCCGTTAGCCATCCTCCACTCTTCCCGGCCGCACGTGGCTACCGAGCTCACATTTGAGCGGGACCTCCTGAAGGACGCTGGCTCTCCCTTCTGGGCCACGGGTCTCCAACCAGAGCACCCACAGGGGCCAGGCTGGGGCTGGCACTATGGGGACCGGGTCCGCGGGCGCCGGGGGGATGGGGGGCCTGGCTGCCTCAGGAAGTAGCCCTCTCCTTTCCCGGACGGCGAGCAGACACAGGTGAAGCCCAGAGAGGCCTCCGTGTTCACTCCTGCCTTCGACGCCACTTTCACGGGGGTCCTGGCCCTCCGTCCAGCCCTGACTGGGGGTCTCCAGAGGGAAAAACAGCAAAGCTGGCTTTGTTAAGGAGCTGGGCTCTTGTCCAAGGAGCACTTATTGAGTGCTCGCTGTGTGCAGAATGAGGCCCAAGGCAGTTAAGCGACGCGGCCCCAGCCATCTGTGGGGCTTGAATCCTGGTTCCGCCGCCCCCCTTGCCTCAGCTTCCTCAGCTGAAAACGGGAATGACAGTCACCACTTCCCAGAGCTTCAGGACAGAACTGGATGAATTGTGTATACAGAAAGCGCCTACACAGAGCCTAGCACATGCAGAGCGTTTAGTTATTCTCTCCTCGGCGACCATGAGCACCATCGGACTGGGGCGGCCGTGGACAGTGCACAGGGTTTCCAGCGGGGCCTGGGAAGAGCGTCCATGCGTCTGTCCTGCTCTGCGGACGTGGCTTTCCAAGCTCCCAGGCGGTGTGGGTGCGGCCGTGACACCTGCCTGGCTCCCGCTCGGGACCTCTGCCCCAGCCTCCTCCCCGCCGGCAACACGGGCTGGCAAGGTCCGCCCCAGAGCCCCCACCCCCAGAGGGTCTCTGTGCACCCACTTCTTGCATGTGGAGACCTGGAGACCAAGGAGCATATGAGGCCACAAAGCACGATGCCCCGCCCACGGGCTTGTGTGTGTGTGCACACACTCAGGAAAGAGTCACAATCGGAGAAAAGCAAATTTTGCGCAGACACAGGGCCTTGCGAGCACCCAACCGGTCAGCCTCCGAGGGCCACTAGCACGCAGTGCTGATGCCTGGTGGTAACGGGCACAGGCGCCCCATAAAACGGCCTGGCCTCCACAGTGGGGGGCACTCTGGGGCCTGTCCCCAGGGATGTGATCCACAGATAAACTCACGTGGGGCAGACCAAAGGGTTTTCCTCCCAGGAGCATCTGGGACAAGCCCTGAATGTGCAGCCACCCTGAGCTGGGGGACTGCCAGCAGAGGGCGCGCGGGAAACAGCCGGAGCAGAAGCTTGTCTAAAAAGGTGGGGGGGCGTCTGGGGGGCTCAGTGCGTTAAGCCGCTGCCTTCGGCTCGGGTCATGATCTCGGGGTCCTAGGATCGAGTCCCGCATGGGGCTCTCTGCTCAGCGGGGAGCCTGCTTCCCTCTCTCTCTCTCTCTGCCTGCCTCTCCGTCTACTTGTGACCTCTCTCTGTCAAATAAATAAAAAAAAAAAAAAGGAAAAAAAAATAAAAAGGTGGGGGGGCATCTGGGGGGCTCAGTGGGTTAAGCCTCTACCTTCAGCTCAGGTCCTGATCCCAGGGTCCTGGGATCGAGCCCTACATCGGGCTCTCTGCTCAGCGGGGAGCCTGCTTCCCCCTCTCTCTCTGCCTGCCTCTCTGCCTGCTTGTGATCTTTCTCCGTGTTAAGTAAATAAATACAATCTTAAAAAAAAATAAATTAAAAAAAATAAGGTGGTGGGGAAGGGCTGCACATCTGATAGATTTGAGTGGGCGTGGAACTCTCTGGAAGGATGCAGGTGAGAGCAGGGGGTAAGGAGGACGGGGGGGGGGGGGGGGTGAGGAGGGGGGAGGTGAGGAGGACTGCAGTGATCCAAGAAGATGGGGATTTGAATGCAAATTTGAAAAACAATCAGTTTCTGCTCCTTGTGGAGGGACCCAATGGCCTGGCCCTGAGCCACTGACTCTGTGACCCTGTGGGGGGAGAGGGTGTTGCCCAGGACCAGGGGTCCTGCGTGGACCCCTCCATGGTGGGGGGTTCCCCCCCACCCCCTCCCTGGGTGGATGCAGCAGGGGAGATGTGGCCACAGGATGTGTCCCAGGCTGGACAAACCTCCCCTGTGCCGTCATCAGCACTGAGTATGTGCCAACTGACTGCATGGAAAGTCTATTCTTCTAAACACTCCTAAAGCCCTCGCTGGGTGCCAGGCCTGTTCCGTCAAAGGCTTATGCGACGCCAACCTCCCGCATTAGCAGAGGAGGGCTCTGAACTCAGACCCCGAGTCCTCACAGCCCACCCGCTGGAGGAGGACCCTGCAGTCCAGCCACCGGGTGGCCCCAGGGCCTTGCTCAAGCCGCCCCCCCGCCCCGCCAGGTGAGTTACCGACCCGGACCCCAGTCTGAAGGTCCCACTCCCCAGCATTTACCCAGGCTGTTTCCTTAGCCCGGAACACGAGGCTGTGCCTCCCGAACTCCTACTCGGCCTGCACAGCCCGACTCCTCTGACCCCCACACCCGGGCACCCTGGCTGTGCCCACCCCTGTCCTTGAGCGGCAGAGGCCCCCGAGGGCGTGTGGAACCGGGGCCTCCGCCCCGCCCCCACCGGTACGACGCCCCCCGCCCCCCTCACCTCCACGAAGTAGAAGCAAGGAAGAAGCGTCATGCTGTCCTTCGGGCTTTTATTCTTCTCCTTGGTCGCGATCATGGTGCCGCGGGCTCCACAGGCCGTGGTTGTAGGGGACAAAGGCGCGCTGGAGGAGGGGAAGCGCAAGCTGAGCCCTGGCTGGGGGGGGACCCGGTGCCCAGCGCCTGCGGGGGAGGGGCGGGCACAGATGCGCAAGAACCGCCCCGGGAAACTGAGGCTGGGGGAGAGGGGTGCCCCTGCGTCCTCCCCCTCCCCGACGCCGCGCAGTGCGGCGCTGCCAAACAATCCAGCTGCGGGCCCCCCCATGCACCGCAGATGGGGGGTGGGCAGGGGCCCAGGAGAGGGCGGGGCCGGCCGGATTTAGGAGCCCCCCCACGCCGGCTGGGGCCGCTGCCCGCGTCAGGGCGGGGGCCCCCGGGGTGGAGCAAGGAGGGTCCCGGCGGCCGGAAAAGGGGTGCGGCCCGGGTCCTCCGCTCGCAGGCCCCTCACCTGGCGCGCGGGCGCTCGGAGGGCGGAGCCGGCGGGCGCGCGGGGCGGGGGCTGCGGCGCGGCGAGCACAAAGCGCGGCCCCTCCCCCGCGGGGGCGGAGGGGCGCGGCGCGCGCGAGGGCCGGGAGGGGAGGGGGCCGCGCCCGGCCCGAGACCCTGCGCCCGCGACGGCCTACGTGCGGCGCGAGGGGCGGGGGCTCTTTGTCTCGGCGCGTCGGGGGCGCCGCGCGCGTCCGTCGCCGGGCTGGTTCCCCGGGCGCGCGCCGGGCCCCCGCTTCCTGCGTCTGGGGACCTCGGGGGTCTCTGGGGTCTCGGGTCGCCGTAGGGGCGGGCTAGGGCCGGGGTCGGCGCTCCCCTCCCCTGCCGGGCCCCTCGCGTCGGCCTCGGGAGCCCCCTGGACGCTGGGCGCGGGGCGGGGTCTCTGGGTGCCGGGGTCCCCGGCTCTCCATGTGTCTTGGGGGGTCTCCGCCTGTCTCTGCCCGCCCTACGCCCGGTCTCTGTCCCCTCCCCGGGGCCCGCCGCTCGCTGGGGCGCGTTTCCATGGTGAGGGCCCCGGGCGCCAGCGCAGTCTGGAGACTAGTAAGGCCCGGGGAGCTTGTCCAGGTCCCTACCGTACCCCGCCCCCGCCCCCCCCGCCTCGCGCGCCCGCCCGGGGTCGGCCCTTTGCTCTGCGGGTTTGCAGGCCCCTCGCCAGGCTCCCAGCGGGCCGAGGCGCACGGCACGACGCCCCGGGAGCGGGGCGGCAGGTACGGGTCTCGCGATGAATGCGGGGTGCGCACCGAGGCGGCGCTTGGGGCTGGCGGGCGCGTCCCCCTTCCCACGCACACCGTGTGGGGTAGGGACTGGCTGACCCTTCATCTTACGAATGGGGCACCTGAGGCCCCGGGGAACTTAAATCACTGTCCGAGGTCGCCAGGCCTCAAACGGCAGGATTTTACTCGGTTCATTTATTCACAAACTCGAGCGCCCACTGTATACTGGACCCTGTAGAGTCTCTGGGGAGCCACTGAGAAGTGGGCAGACCCTGACTAATCCTGAAGTTAAGCGCCTCGTGGGAACAGAGGGTGGGGGCTGCATTAATGGAGCGCCTCCTGTTTGTCGCCTGTGGTCTTTATTTCTGTTCAGCCATTTAGACTCCATCCCTGTTGTGGCTTGGACCCTTCCGGCTTTGAAAGAGACAGCTCCTTGGGCTTTCAAAGACCATGGTCTGTGTGGTGAAGACTGAGCTCCAGAGGGTTCAAATCCACCTCTCCGGGGCCTCAGTTTCCTCACCTGTAAATGGGCGTGACGAGGGCTGCATCGGACTGGCTGGCCCACCTCCCCAAGACCTCAGGTGGGCAGCGGTTCGGAATCCAGGTGTTGAAAGGTGTCCACAAACAGCCCTCCGAAGGCAGGAGGAGAAGGGGGAAATGGGGTGATCTCTCTTGGGTGCTTCCTGGGGGCAGGAGCAGGAAGGGTTGTCCTGGGGCCCCCCTGACATCGCAGGGGTGGGTGGGAGAGGGTATGGGGGGGATCTAAGGGTCATGGGTGGAGGTCCTTCTTCCCATCGGATCCCCGGTGATGGAGATGGGCAAAGCCTGGCTGTGGGGGCACATCGCCCAGCTGGAGAGCCTGGACTTGTGTCTGGGACACTAGGGACCCATGGGAGAGTTTAGCAGGAAAGAAGGGCTGAGCACAGGGCGTGCTGCTCAGAAACACGCCAGTACTAACTCACTCATGGCAGCTCCTGGGGGATTGGTGCACGGGGACCCCGAGGGACGTCAGGGACGGAGGGACGAAAGGGATGGAGCTTTCTCCCACTGTGCTCTGGCCAGCCTGGTCCATGGGAGAGGAAAGGGTGGACAGGTGGGATCAGGAGGGGAGAGGGGAAGCAGACTTGAGGGCTCTGGACTGAGACAGAGGCCTGACGGGCACAAAGGGACACTGCACCGTGAGGCTTGGTGAGGACCTGGCCGAAGCCCCCACGACCCCAGCATTCCACCCTGACACCTACTCCCCAAGCCGCCCGTGGGAGGGGAAAAGCACCCTGGAAGAGCCCCCCACAGCTCCAGACACTCTGGTGTCCCCGAGGCATGGGGGGCCACCACCCTTCTCAAACCTCTCAGTCTCACCTTGGAAATAAATCCATTTTAAAAAATGAGCTGTTTGGGGGCGCCTGGGTGTCTAGGTTGGTTAAGCCTCTGCCTTCATCTCAGGTCATGATCCCAGGGTCCTGGGATCAAGTTCCACATCGGGCTCCCTGCTCAGCGGGAAGCCTGCTTCCCCTCTCCCTCCACCTGCCGCTCCCTGCTTGGGCACACTCGCTCGCTCTCATAAATAAATAAAATCTCAAAAAAAAAAAAAAAAGAAATTAAAATTTAGTTGTTTTAAGGGACACCTGGGTGGCTCAGTCGGTGAAGCATCAGCCTTGGGCTCAGGTCATGATCCCTGGGTCCCGGGATCAAGCCCTACTTCTCCCTCTCCCACTCCCCCTGTTTGTGTTCCCTCTCCCGCTGTGTCTCTCTGTCAAATAAATAAATAAAAGCTTAAAAAAAAATGAGCTGTTTTAAACTGTGCCATGCAATGGTTTTTTAATATCTTCACAGAGTTGTGTAAGCATCATCACAGTCTAATTCCAGAACATTCCATCACTCCAAACAGACCCCATCTCATCAGCTGTCACTCCCCAGACCCCATCAGCTGTCACTCCCCAGACCCCGGCCGTGCGAGGCCCCCTTCCCTCCCATGGATGAGCCTGGTCTGGATGTGCACTCACACCCCTCTGGCCTCCTCTGTCTGGTTCCTTCCCTGCGTGTCGTGGGCTCGGGCTCCGTCCCCAGGGCCACACGCGGGGGCGCCTGGCTCCTTGCGGCTCCCGCGTGTGGCCACACGTGTATCTGCTCACAAGCGTATGGACATGCGGGGCAGTCCCCACCCTCGGGCGGCCGCCAACGACCATGCGCACAGGTCTGTCCGCATCCCTGGCCCTAACCTTCTCTGGGGTGTGTCCTCCGCAGATCTTCCTGAGAGCGGCCAGACTGTCCCCCAGCAGTGTCTGTGGCCCCGGTCTCCCACGGCCTCCAGAACCCGGTTCCAGGGTCTCTCCTTGGGGCCGTCCTGGGGGGGACAGGGCGGAGTCTAGTTGTGGCTCCGCCCACCAGCGCCTGCTCCCTGACGCCCCGTTTCCAGCATCTTTTTACTGCCCTTGGCCGTTTGCACTGTCTGTGGGGAGTGTCCACTCAGCTGCTTTGCCCGTCTTGAAACGGGACCACTTGTCTTTCTGTTGTTACTCCTAAGACTTCCTAATTTTATTTTTATTATTTTAAAGATTTTATTTATTTATTTGACAGAGATCACAAGCCCGCAGAGGCAGGTGCAGAGAGAGAGGGGGAAGCAGGCCCCCGGCTGAGCAGAGAGCCCGACGCAGGGCTCGATCCCAGGACCCTGAGATCATGACCTGAGCCCAAGGCAGAGGTTTCACCCACTGAGCCCCCAGGCGCCCCTGAAGACCTTCTTTATATGCCCCAGCCTTGCTTCTCTTCCCCCTTCGGGGTCCTGGATCTCAGGCCTCCCAAGACCCTGCTGAGAGGTGAGGGAGGGGAGGCTGCTTCCGCACCCCTGCTCCAGGGGGCTCCACGAGGGGCTCTACCCACTTCGCAAGTGCACACACTGAGGGCGGGTGAGGACCCGCCCAAGTTCCCAGATAAAAACTGTCCCTGAAGAGCTGGTCACAGAAGGCCACGTGGCGTGGGATTCCACGTGCACGACACATCCAAACCAGGCTCGTCCTGGGACGGGAAGGGGTCTGGGGGCCGGGGACGGCCGCTAAGAGTCAGGAGATTTCTTTCTGGGGTGTTGGGATGTTTAACACGGTGGGGGCTACAGAACTCTGGGAAGGGCCTAAGGGCGCCCACATGGCACATTTGACCGGGTGCCTCACGTCCTGCGGAAACGGTGACAAAGGCAGAAGGTGGTGAAACGTACAGCCCAGGGCCAGTGGGAACCCGTCCCGGGCCTGCTGACCCCATGGCCCGGTGGGTGCGGTTGGGTCCGCCCTCACTCAGGCTGGGGAGATGGAGGCCTACGAGGGCATTTCGACTGGCATTCCCAATGCCGCTACCATGGTGGGCGTCTGTTTCACACGCGTCGTGCTCCGGGTCTCCACAACAGTGACTGCATCGGGGGAAACTGAGGCGCGGGGCAGGCCTGTTGGAGCAGTCCAGGCCCGCCCTGGGAGCAGCTGGTGGTGGAGGCCTAGGGCAAGACCCTGTTTTCCCGCTGGCAGAGGCTGACCGCACGTCTGGGGAAGGGCATGTGCCTGGGTAGGGGGCCGCCAACACCCCCCGCCCCACTGCCGCAGCCCACCCATCGGGCCGACATGCAGACTCCTGGCTGGGCTGGCTGACCTTTGGCAACCTCTGGGGCCAGCAAGTGCCCACCCCCAGCCAGACATCTCATCTGTGCTGGGGGTCCAGCTTCAGGATGGGAGGCCCAAGTGGGGGGGACAAAAAGGCCCCAGCCCCCGCGCCCCTGGACTCAGAGAGGGGAAGCAACACAGCCCCAGCCACACAGCCAGACCTGCCCAAAGGGTCCTGGACCTGGTGGGGAGGGGAGGCCGGGGTCTCCCCAGGGACAGGGCTGAGACTGAGGTGCGCCCCCCACCCCCACCAGGAC